GTGTTACCTTTCAACAGACGTGAAGTAACCGCAGGTTTTTTTGGTACTAGCATGGAAATAAAGTATTGATCTTCGGTTGTTGTCTCACTGCGGGCTGACAGCATCCTTTCACCTCTGCTGTATTCCCTGGTAATACGACATCAACGCTCAACAGCCTTGAGTAAACAAGATGGCACATGCCAGGCTGAGGCCAGGATCAGGGAGCAGTGCATTTACAGGATAAGGCCGAGTAAAAAGACAATCTGTCATGCACGAATCGGTTATTTGGTGCAGCTTCCTGTAAAGACAGAAGTACTTTCCAGTTCACCTGTTCATTATCCTGTTGGAGAAGACAAAGAATAATTACAAAACAAAAAATCCCTGTAGCAACAATAGCAGAAACTTAGCTTGTTCTAGTCCATAAAAAGTAACAACTGTCGGAAGGTGACGGACTTTATTGTGACATAATATTTTCTGATGCCAAATTATTACAAATTCAGACACAGAAACCTCAACCATAATAAAAAATACTGTGAGGCTGGTCCAACACTGGAACAGGTTGCCCAAGGAGGCGGTGGGTTCTCCACCCTTGGAGATACCCAACTGGCCAGGATCCACAGTAAGCCTCTCTACTTGATTCTGCTTTGGGCAAGGACTTGGACTAGACAATCTCCAGAGCTCCCTTCCAACCTCAACCATTATGTGATTCCATTCAAAGTACTCTTTGTAGGGAACTCTGGTCAGAGTTTTTCTGACCTGATATTCAGTGTTACCCTTTAAAAAAAATGTTGGGTTTGCTAATAAAACCTCTTTTTAAAAAAAATTCAAGATGAACCTTTGACTGCAAGACTTGTTTAGTGATAGTTTTCTTTTCCATCTCATACTGCTATGGCTGAGGATTACTTCTGACTGACATGACTCTTTCTACAAGAAAGGGACTAATTGTTACTCTGAAGCAGGATTCAAACATTTTGGAAAAAAGTTGATTTCTAGTACTCCTTTTTTATATGTGTAAAAGAGAAAAGCAAGTTAAAATTCTGGTTTTGCAGGTTATGATGTTGTGAGTGGAGAACCTACATTCATGGGTTTTGTGTAAATTACAGTTCTAACATTCATTAGCAGCTGTTCATACGTGTCAAAAAGTTAAACCTTGAACCATTTCAAGTCTTCTGTTCACATTAATTGCATGTAATCATTCTTCCCTTTTATATTATTTTGCATTGTTAGGTTTTATGCATGTTCAATTCTGTGTTTTTTTTCATTGTGATCCTCAAAGTCATTGTCAACTAATTTTATTTTAAATTGTTTAGAAACATATAGCTCATGGCCTGGTCCCTGCCGCTACCGTAGCTCCTAAACCTGCAGTTCCCTGCACCCCTCCCCCTCGTAGTCCAAACCCTTCTCCAGAAAGGCCCAGGTAGGTTTTGAGTTTTTTTTTTTTGTTTGTTTCATCAACTACAATAGCATACTAGAAAAGCATGATTAGAAGAATTGCATGTCCTTGCTGCAGTATTTATGTAAACCTTTTCATAAATGGAATATAATTTTCACTGGTGCTGTTCCCTTCTTTGAACTTACCCATTTTTCTCCCAAAGCATGCTAAATAATTAGGACAATGGCCATTACAAATATGTCACTTATTATAAAACTGAGTCAATTAAAGAGAAATGGACTATTTAAAGTTATGCCCACTTTAATTTGACTGCTAGAGTAAAGCACAGGACTGTAGCAGTACTAGTACCATGAATCAGGACATTTAACTTATTAGAAAAGCATAAATTAAATGTTACTAACATGCCATGTTATTGCATATTAAAAAAAGGAGGGGGCGCTTTAAAAAACTGGCATGCAAAACCACATTGGACTAGATTTGAATCAGCTACACAGGCAAGTTGCATAAGGAGAAACCCCAAATTTATTTTTCATTTGTAGCTTCCTAGAGTTTCTTTTTTCTCTATTTAGTTTAATTCTGGTTGTTTTCTATGGTCTTCCTAGTGTCTGTAACGTTCCCACTTAATCTGAGTTAATTTCTTCCTTTTTGACCTCCCACTGTTGTCATTCCTATTACAGCCCTCACCGTTTCTCTCCTTCCATCTTTCTTCCGACTTGTTTTTTTCCTCTTCATCTTCCCCTTCTCTGTACTCCGCAGCATCCCGCAAACAGGCGCTTCCGTCTTCTTACCGCTTGCACGAGTTTGCAGAGCGCCAGCGTGTATGAACAGCTTCAGAGTCAGCAGTAGAAGGTTCAGAGCAGGGAACAGATAAAACAGCAGAATGTGGGACACGCTTTCTATACAACACTAGGCAGTACTGCTCTGGCTAAAGTAAATGCTACATGCTGTATGTTATCGATGTCAGTTTTGGGAATGTAACTCATATTCTGTGATTTTCATGCCTGTAATTTGGGAAAAGCAGTAGGTATTGTACTTTTCTCGTAGGTAGCTGCGTTATGCTAGCCTGCCCAGTTTGCTGCTTTACTTTGGGAGTTAATAGTTTCTACGCAGTCCCGTAGCACTTTTAGTAGTGTTTATGCTTGTTAACAGTGAACTTTTTGCTTTGCTCGAGTAGCGAAGACGTGTTGCGATGGAAACAAACAGACAACGTGGAGCCCAGAGAAGATACCCGTGTCGTTTTATTCTGTTCTCTTCCAGATCCGCTCTAGCAGCAGCTGTCCTTGCAACAGCGCTAACGGGGCGTACTGTTGCTATTCCTCAGCCTCGGCAGCAATCGCTCTCCGAAAGCGATGCCACCTACGTGGAACAAGAATGCTTTGAACCCTATGCGACGGTCACAGAGCTCACGATGGGGTAGCGTATGCTTTCTGTTTGAGATCTTACATGAGAAACCGACTCTGGCAATGATACAATTTTACTGAAGAGTTACAGCAAACTAATTCAACTCCTGGTGTTACAGCCACTTACTACTTTCTCACCGGATCATAGATTGAGTCTGAAGTGTCTACAATCCCTATTCCATTTGTCATAGTGATGTCACGCATACAGTCTTCAGGGAGGGAGATTTGGATTGTAAAGCAGTCGCAACTAAAAACATGGATTATTTCTGCCAAGCGATGATCAATTATATTTGTGCTAAATAATTACTTCAGGCTCTTCTTTCGGTAGAACTAGCAACCTTCTGTCTCTAATCTGGCATTTTCTTTGGGATGGAGAAGAAAACATTGCTCCAGTGTTGGGTGTCTATTTTAAAACATACACATAGGCTGGATTCCTTTTTTGCAAGGAATCTAAGCAAGAAGCTTGCATGTCTGTGTTGGCTGTTTGGACTCACTGTCCATGTTCTTAGACTGATGGTTGTCCTTCACTAGCATTTCTTTGTATGGAAGAGTAAGCAACATTCCAACAGGCTTTAAACTGCTTTCAACCTGCAGGCCCAACTGGAATCCTGATGGTAGTGACAGATCTCCTGTACAGTCCCTGGAAATGCCAGGCAATTACTGTGAGGATGAGGACGTGGACACCTGCCATTCAGATGCTGATAAAGAGACAGAGTCCAGCTGTCAGAGTAATGAGAAAAGGGGAGAAAGCTTTAGCACCACTGCTATTTATGCTGTTCCCCACAAAAATGAAAAGGTAGGATTTTAGAATGCGTTAATTCCTTTTACCATGTTTTAATATATTAATGGAAATATTAAATGTTTGTAAGGCTGTTCATTCTCTTCTTACTCTTCGGGCATTTATTCAGTTTTTATTTCACATGCTTCTTTTTGTGGTTCATCTACCCCTACAGGAGTTAGGTTTGTTTGTTGGTCCTCAGAGATTCCATCTCTCTGGTTATTAGGAGCCTTTCCTTATTGGAAAAACCCTGGTATTGTGTGTAATTATTGTGCATGATTTAATCTTATAAAATGTCCAGTATTTTACAATGAGCGTGATACTTACATAGTAGGTTATTTGTTAAAAGCACTAGGAACTTTACTTTTACTGATGTTGAAAGCTTAGTTGTTGATTCAGTATTGTACTAATGAGCAGAGACCTATATAGAAACCAGGAGATTCAGAATCAAACAGAATTAATTACCTGGTTGTCTTGAAGACCAGCAGATTCTTCTCTTACAGGTTTGGACTGTCATAACCAGCAGTGAGCAGGTTAATATTCCTAAGGCACATTTAAAGTTCAGTTTGCATCTCTGTCCAAAAAGATAGAAAAATTTAACGAACAGAAGAAGTAACTGAGTAGTAAAGAGGCAATAAAATGCTATGTATGTGAAAGAAATCAGAAACCAGCCTCAGTTGAAGAGTAGTAGTCAGTAAGAGGAGGAGAGGTAAGAATTAAAGGAAGAGTAAGTGCAATATGTGGGGCGCTAGTATGTGATCAACAGAGGAAAACCAGCAGAAAATGTTAATTATTCATGAATCTCTCAGTGGTGTGATATAGGAGACAGATGGTTGATCCTTTATGAAAAGCAAGTTTAGGTACAACACGGAACAAGCAAATGTAGGATAATTTCACAGACTCGTGTGAGTGAAGCGATGGGGAATACTGGCCTTGTGAGCTACATGACTATCACATAGCTTCCTACCTCCTCTTGACCACTGGAAGGTTTACATCTTATTTACACAGAGCCCTAAACCAAAAAAAAGCATGTCTTATAATTTATTATCCTAAGATACTGGAGTACAGTTCTGCATGCGACTGTGATGTTGGTATACTAAAGGTTTCATCCAGACCTCATCACACATGGGCTGTTTCGAGTGTTACGATCTAGAGAGGCTTGTCTTCTTTTTACATAGGAAGAGTCGCCGCCGTCTCCTAGTACTAATGCTGACAGGAAAGAGGCACCTTCTCCTGAAACGGAGTTTCCTGTGCTGGTGGATCAATCAAATGTGCAAACAGAAGGTAACTTACTTCAGTCAAAATGCCATACTTTTAATACCAAAGAGGTAAAATAATTTCTAGTTAAAATAAATTTAATACTCTATGATAATCTTTTATATATATATTTTTTTTTTTTTAAGGGCAGTGGAAGAGGTGCTACTAAATACTTAGCCATTTTTACTAATCACAGAAAATTTAAAATCTGCATAATAAGGGAAGGTTGGTCTGTATTCACTGTATAACTGAAACTCCTGAACATCCACTGTCAGCCAGAGCAAAAAAAGCGCTTCGGGGGGAAAGTTTTTTGTGAACTCTTATCTAGTACAGTCATTCTCTACTATGTTTCTGTTGATATAGGTGCCAGAATCAATCCACTTTATACTCTGGAAACTATTGGAGTGTTACTGTGCTCAAAAAATGGACAAAAGTAGAAAATACCAATGTTAAAAAAAGCTAAGGAGATAGAAGAAAACCCTTTGAATCAGTCATTTTTCTTGGACTAAAAAAAAAGTCATGTCTGAAAATCAGCAGTAAAAAAAGGCATAATACTGGGATTGTTTATCTTTCTACAGAAGTCATTATCATTCTTGACATCTTTTAAGGTCTGAGCCTTAAACTTGTCCCTTCGGTCACACAGGAGGGTTCTGGCAGAACAGAGCACTGAACATGACCATCAGTCTTGGGTGCTAAGCTCTGAACTGTTAAGCTTCATAAATAATCCTTTTGCAGTAAGTAATCTCATTAGATCAGGGACACGTGGTTCATAACTGGACCTTCTAACAGTCAAATATTGTGGAGAAAAAAATACGACAAGACAGCAAGGCCACTCTACCTGCATAGGAGTTTTGTTGTATAAATTACTTTGCCAGTTATTTTAAAATGAGGAAAAACAGCGAATCTGCATTTCGCAGCTCTGGCACAAACTCGGTTTTTACAGAGGAGGGCAGCACTCTACTAGTTATTGAACAGGAAAGAGAAAGCAGAACTGAGTCCATTTTGAAAAATCTTTCTTGCTGAGTTTTTTCATGGTGGATCCCAGTGTTATTTCAGCATTATTTCAGTGGAGTTATTTGGAAAGCTGTATAGAGAAGAGTGCCTAGAAAGAACAGGTTGCTTTGATAAAACCGTTTGGGTAAGTGAGGTGAGGTCGCACATCAGTACCCTGGTACACCATGAAAGAGCTAATGGGAAGTCAGTGATCTGATTTGTGGTTTTGGGAAAACTTTCTTACATTTATTTGTGGTATAAATATGTGTGCTTACATATCCATATGAACCCTTGTATTTTATGGACTTGCAATTACTTTTGGTTTAAACTGACTGAAAGATCTGTTTTTCTTTAGCTGAAGACCAACATCTTGGCTCGAATTTAAAGGTAAGACTTATGCAGGTTAGTTTGTTACACATTTTGGAAAAAAGGGTGTTAATAAAGAGCTGATTTGCAGTCAAATCAGACTGGTTTTCCATCACTTGCAAGAAAACTTGCTTGTTGCCACTAGGAAATCTTTTACTTTTGGAGTACAAGAATGGCTAATCACGCCATCTGAATACCACTGTGTAGGTAAATAGGCCATCCGAAAGTTGGGGTTTATTTTTCTTAATATATCTTCTGTTGTTCCTCATGTAAGAGAAAGAAACTGAGAGTGGGAGACATCACGTTATAGCAAGAGCAAAACTATCTCTTACAGATAATTTTCAAATTCTGACCCTGACCTGGCCAGAGTTTTATCGAGTTTCCCAGCTGGGCCCAGCTGACTGCTTTCGTAAGCTTGAAAAAGGACAGCCAAAAATACAGTTGCTCAGATCAGCTTGCTGGGAGATTATTTATAAAAATGGTCAGTTCTTCCATTGTTAACGTCACCTTTTTTCTTCAAGTTCTTGGCCACTTATATTTTCATCGGAAATGGTTCTTGAGTTTGACTCATTTAGTCATCGGTGTCTCGGTACGTTGAATTCATGGCATCGCGTCCTTACAGAACTTCACTGCGCTCCCATAAAAACGTGGAGGAAGTTTGTGTGTGTCGCTCATGCTCGCCTCAAGTAAACACTTCAGTAAAAATTCATCCTGTAATTCTTTCCTGATGAAAACCTTCTGAAAATGTAAAAATGTTTATTTCTCTGTTAGGAAGAAAAGTCATTAGCTGAAAACCTGATACATGAAAAGCCTCCACTGTCCCCAGGTACTTCTGAATTTTCTGTGACTTTACTACACATCTTCACTTTAAAAAAATGTGTATGTATATAAAAATACACTTTCCTGTTTGTGTTCTCCAAACCTAATTCAAGGGAGGGGAAAAAAGAGTAGTGTTTCTCCTGTAGAGGAGGTGAGAAAGTGCTGAGTGCTCTGCGTTATGTACAGAAACAATAGTTCTGGGCTTTTTATGTTACGTGTTTCAGATTTGTTTTTATTTTCCACTCTGAGTGACTTTTGAAATCTCAAGTAAATGATTGTGAAGCGATGTAATGAAATGAAAGTCACACTGGAACTCTCCAGTCCCTTACGTTTCATCTAGAGGGTGTCACCGGTCATCCCGGGGTGCCCCGTCGCAGCTGAGGCGGTAAGCGTACAGGGCTACGAGGTACGTGGTCTGCCTCCAGGTAGTGCACTACTTGTACATTACTGTGTCCACATCCAGCAATTCCAGGCCCAGCACCTCTGAGCTTTGTGTGTTGCACGTGTGGGATATGTGCCTATGGTGAGTTCCTGGGGTTCTGTGTGTTTCTGTGCTGCCTTTCCACAGGAAGGGAACAGTCACTGCCAGGGCCTCACGTGTTTCTGATCACCTGAAGCTGGTTTGTGTCATCAGCAACAGAGACAGCTCTGTACTGCAGAACCAATCTTAAGTTTCATATGTATCCTGTACTAAGGAACTATTCTGTACTAAGTTACGTTCAAGCTTGTATGTTGTTAGATTATGCTGGCTCTTAAAAGTCTGATGGTAAGGGTAAAACCTCAGCCTTTGTTTAAGTGACCGAGCTGTTTAGCCCATACGGATGGAGAGGAAGAATGTGAAAGTGTGATCCATTATTACTGATGCAACAATATATCCATATATATATATATCCATATATATACAGCTGTCTTGCCAAATCCACTCTTTTCATTCTCCCTGGCCTTACCTTCTGGGAGCCATGAGCTAGTTTATATCTCACAAGCTATCACTCATACCTAAGGCTAATATTAGAAAAAACGGATTATAATTTGCTGAAATTCCTGCTCCAGTCTCAAGACCATTTAAAGACATTCTACTGTGGCATTACAGATGCGTCTGTTCGGGCAAGGCAAGCACAGGAAAATATGGCTAAAGAAAAGTTCAGAGAAATAAATCAAGAAAACTGGTCTCTGAACAAGGCATTCCAGGCTGTGGTCCAGCAGTTAGAGGGAGCAAACCAGCAAATGCAAGAACAGCAATTAATGCTGAAGAGACTGGAACAAGAAAACAGAAGACTTAAAGAAGCTGCAGAGAAGTCACACAGAGAAGGTGGGAGACACATTCTTTCAATCTAAGCTATTCTGTAGTTCTCTTGTTTGATTTTTCTGATTTCTTACAACCTATTCCTGCAGCAGTAGGTTTCCACTCATTCCTTTGAGCAAGTATCTATGCAGTAGATACTTTCTGAACAGTATTTTCTAGCTATGTAGATATTTTGTCAAGGAATACTTACATGATCATGAACATAATTACTTTGTTGTTTAAAATGCTGTGTTTTGTTAGTAACTTTTTATGGGATTACTCCATTACAGTAGATCTCTTGAGAGTTCTTTCATGGTTCTAGCTTATTGAGATTTTTTTTTTCCCCCCTTAGAGTTAACAAATTATTGTGAACATTTCATGATTTTTGATTTAATTTTCTTGTTGGATATTTGTTTTAATAGAGGAGGCTACAGAATTACTTTCTCTCAGACAACAAGCACAGGAACTGGTAGATGAAAATGATGCCTTGAAACTGACAGTCCATCGTTTAAATGTAGAATTAAGTCGCTATCAAACTAAATTCAGGCCATTGTCCCAAGAAGAGGTGAGAATCTTGGTTATAAAGGCATTTTGTACTGAAATGTCCCTCTGTCCTTTCATTCATCTTTGAAGTTTTCAAGACTATTTTCTTCAGATCTGCCAAAAGTCTACAAATGGCACAGGCTTTTCCTGGAGTTTAAAATAAGTGCTTATCATTATGTCTGACTTTAAGAAGTTAGACGTTCTGTACTAGTAAGATACTGAACTTGAGTTTTGTTGACCTTGTTGACTGTGTGTGGGATGTATGCAACATGACCTTGTTTGGGGTGATAGCTGTGACTGCTGTGGACAGTGGTTGGTGCTTCAAAAAGCGGGAAATAATTTCAGTATCCTTTTTTAAAATCTACTTTAGCATCTAAAACTCCAAGGTTTACCCATGAAAGGACCACCACCCCCATGGCTGGTAAGGAATATTTTCACTTATCTGCTCATTCCTTTGTAAATAAAGTAGTAGAAGTTCTTTACTGGAACCAAAATACTGGGGATATTCTTTGGTTACTCTGCGGAACTACCACATACTAGTAGAATATTATCAAGATGTTTGTACGTCGCATAAGACGAGGTATGGCAGAGCTTTGCCATGGGTGTGTGCAGCTCCAGCTGAATTTACAGCAGGCTACAGACTGCATACAATCACCAACTCCAAACTACGGAATGCAGATTAAGCAGAAGCACTGTCACCCTGAGAATCATGGATACCCTCTTCGCTTAGTATTGTCTAGCATGTAGTTTGCTTCCAGACCTGTTGCTTAACTGTTAACCTTCTTAATCTTCTGTTGTGATTAATTTTAAGATGACACTAACAGAAAATAGCCTATTTCAGTGATGCTGATGGTAGGAATGGTCGTGGATCCACTAGTCTCCTATAAACTTCTGGCAGGCAAATAGTCTGTGTAATTGAATGCATTTCTAATATGTGAAACAATTTCTCCTGGAAATGCTAATCAGATGTTAAATTTTCCTTCCTCACTGTTATTCAAAACTATACAGCAATAGGAAAGCCCTCCCGCTCTGTCTTTCTAACTATTCTGTCCAAGAATCACATGCCTATGTCTTTAGTTTTAAAGATGCAGATTTGGGAGTGTAAACATTCCTTTCCCACTTCCTGATGAATCTGGGCTAAGTTTGGTTATTATTAACTGTACTCACTGTAGTGGTTTAGTTTGAATTCGTGTTCATTTGCAACCACATGCTGCTTTTAAACTAGTCATGTACAGCAGGAGAACAAGGGAAAAATACTGATGAGATTATGGCTTGCAGTTGATTTATTTGGATTGATCTTTAATTTTTTTGTTAGTTGGATATGAAGTATTTGTCACCTCTTCTGTTGGCATATGAAGACAGAATAAGAGAAAAGGAAGCTTTAAATCTTGAACATGAGGCAAGTTGCCATTTAAATATACTTCTACACTAAAGCAGAAAAAAAAATCTACTGAAGTTTTTAAAAAGGATTTGTCAAAGCTGTTTTCTGCCTAAAATTAAAAGTGGTTTTGTTTTTGGTGCTTCTGCATCTGTAGTTACTGTGCTACCTTACCCTACTTGGCTGCTTGTTTTTGTCAGCCTGTTCAGATGCAGAAGCAGGCGCTACACTGAGGTGCACAAGAATTGTGCTCTCTGACCAGAATAAACTATAACCACAGTCAGTGCTAGGAAGTATTTACTGTTGTCATCTAAAATGGGGATGCAGTGTCCTGCATAGCTGCTCTTCCAGTTACAGGCCTCTGGATCTTGTGGTAGAAGAGTATTTATTTCTAGTTATTTAAGGAATGGGAACTCGTTTTGCTCTTTAGAAGGTTGGGGTTTTTTTTCCACCAAACCCCTGAAAAATGATTTGTTTCAGAGCAGAACTGCCACAGATATTCACAGTCATTTATTTCCTTCAAAAAATTAAGCCATAAATGAGCAGAAAAACCCAAGGGTTTTATATTACTGTAAATTCATTGTATTGTCCTACTATATTTCAGATTCATGTCATTCATGCTGAAAATATATGGTATCATCTAGTCATTTCTAGGTTTTTTAATCCATATTGTAAGGATCTTCAACTTGCTTAATTCAAACGACACTTGGCAAAAGTGTGGCACAACTCAAATAATCTGCATGATTTTTAACCAAATGCTACTAGATTGATGAAGCAATTGCAAAGTTGTGTGCACACCTGAACTAAAGACCACTGAGTAGTGGGATAATATACTGGCAACACAAGAATTAGAAGGCACTCAGGCGTGCGTATTTATAAAAGCTTTTGTTGATGTAAAAACTAACCAAAATAACTTACTGCTAAAGAATTTTATGTGGAATTCTTTGTCTCCCAGGAGGAAATGAAGAATTTTAAAGTACGAGTTGAAGAGCTGGTGAAGGAGAATGAAGACCTGCATGAGCAATTAAATAAAAATAACTTTATTACCCCTACAAAATGGTAAGTTATATTACTCGAAATTAATTTAAAAGCTACTTGTTGTTTTGCTTGTTGCATGCAAACTTTGAAGATTACAGACCTTAATGAAAGATTTTGCTCCCCTCAAGCAAATTAAATTTTGCTGGAGAGTTAACAGGGTCATGACTATGTCTTGTTGGAACAATGCTGATCTGCAATGCTTGAAATAATTCTGGAGAAAGACTAAACAGTGAATATGCAGTTTTGCACCTGAAGCCCATGTAATGCTCTCCCAGATCTTGCAGGTTACATACCTAACTTACAATTTACTGATAAGAATGTGCCAATGGCATCAGTTTTTCATTAATATAAAATGGTATTGGAATGTGGCCTTAGAAGAATTTGATCGTCTTGAGAGGTGAAACAATGAAATTAAATAGTAGAAAATATGTATGAGACTTAATAACAAGTTACCCAGGTCAGGCATTCATCAGTTGGTCCCGAGATGGTCGTGCATGTTCATCGCAAGATGTGAGAGTTTTAGGGCTGTAAAGGAAAAAACCAAAAGTACAGTATAGCCCTGCAGTGTGTTAGAGTAGGTCCTTCTAGTAGAGGTTGGGTGATAACACTGCAATTACACGGAACTCTCTGCAGAGTCCCAGTCATCCATCCTTAAGTCCAGAGAAACAGAGCTGAGAGGGCCTGTGGTGCAGCCAAGGAGATGGAGGGCCTCTCTTATCTGGAGTTCAGACAGACTGCCCTTCCCCATTTAGTGAAACAAAGGCTGAGAAAGGAACAGGAGTGTGGAGCATGCAAAGAACTACTTAAGCTGCATTGCTATAACAGGGGCCAGTGTTACTAGAAGAACTGGGTGTTCATTCACCCTAACCAAACTTAAAGTGGAAATTGAAGAGGGTTCCTAATCGGTGTAACAAGTATTGGAACAGCATCCGCTGTGAGTAGGAAGCATAAAACTTCTTCCTGTACGCGCAGACACCAGTGGTAACGTACATAAGGGATCATGTACACTTTGGGACTCCGGCGGCCTCTCTGCAGATTTAACCAGTAACGTTGGCTGACTTCCAGTGAGAGGCCCCGCAGGGCAGAACTCCACAACTGTTTAGTTGCCATACAGACTTGGTTACGTAGGTGGTTATAAAGGTATCAGTGTTTTATAGGTGCTTTAATAAAATGCTCTGGACATTTTACATAATCCTGGATGTTTAGGTACTGTCCATACGTTCCAAAACGCTTCACAGAGGTGTTTCAGCTTCTTAAACAGGACTATTTGAACTTCTAATACCTTTGCTTTTAATTTTGCCTCTCTGCAAATCTCAGATGCTTCAGACTGTGTAGAGTCTCTGCCTGGAAGCTGTTCTTTGAGGCTGGAGACGTGCAGCAATACCACAATACCCAGCTTTTGCTCTGTACCTGCAGCAGCTTCCTCACGCTCAGTGTGGCAGTGCCTTGCTCCTTTATTTGCATGTGCATAGCCGCGGGCAGGGATGCACCATCAAGCACTAAGGAGTTGGTCTTCACCGACCTCATCTCCTTTCTGCAGCAACTTTTAAGCCTCATGGTGCCAGGCACAGCTGAGGTGAGGATGGAGACATTCCTTATGCCTAAACCTGTTGATGAAACAGATCTTGCTGATAGCCATTTGGAAGTTGTGCTGTATTTCTACTTGCATTCTGGCTAATACTTCTCAGCTTTCTAAGGTATTATTAGAACAGAAAATACTTTCTTAAGCTTTTATTAACACCAGAAAGACAGGTATTTGGTTTTCTTGCAAGCAGAACTAATAGTAGTTATAAAGCAGGGAGTTAAGTTCTCTGCTCAGGGTAGTTTTATTTAAATGCTCATCTTCCTCACAGGCCCATAGAATGCACCAGCAGTATTTTTCCAGAGATCAAAGCCAAGTAGATCCAAATCCTATCCAAAAACTTACTGCATGTTTTGAAAACAAATTTGGTTCAGTTACTAGTTACACAGCTGCCTCCAAATCATCTGGCACAATTATGTAACTTTAATTCTCTCACACAAGAAAAGTCTGGGAGAGCTGGGACTGTTTTGCCTAGAGAAGGCTCAGGGGTGGCTCTTACCACTGTGCATAAATTCCTGGAGGGAGGGTGTAGACAGAGCCAGGCTCTTCTCAGTGGTGCCCTGTGACAGGCAAGAGGCCGTAGGCACAAGCTGGAACACAGGAGGTTCCCTCTGACCGTACGGAAACAGTTTTCACTGTGGGAGCTGCAGCAAGCTGTCCGGAGGGGCTGTGGAGTGTCCATCCCTAGAGATATCAGAGGCCATCGGGACACAGTCCTGGGCAGCTGGCTCCAGGTGCCCCTGTGTAAGCAATGGGGTTGGACATGATGACCTCCAGAGGTCCCTTTCAGCCTCAGCCCTTCTGTGACGCTGTGACTTTAATTCACATATACACATTTTTTCCTTCTTTCTATAGGGAATTTTTGCTTCAATTAGTCAAAGATTTTAAACATTATTTAAAATAATTTACATACTGAGGGTTGAGTGTTCACGTCTCTCATAAGCTTATACCTTGGGTTTTGACATTGCTTTCAGTGAGGGGTTTTAATTTGTTTTTCAGAGGTTCAAATGTGATTTTATAAGTTTACACTGTTGAAGTCCGTTCTGGTTTTCCTTTGGTCATAAGCTAATATTTGAATGATACGTTATTTGTAAGCTGGTTGTTGTTGCAGGCAGCAGCTGCAAACTCAGGCCAAGTTGGTCTTGGAAGAAAACAGCTTGTTGATGGAGCAACTCAAAATTCAACAAGCCAAAGCAAAGGACAGACACAAACAACATGTTCAAGAAGGTAAAATGCTTGAGCTGCTAGTCATTTCAACTACCCCAGCGACAGTACCATAGGTGGGTTTGGGGTGGGCTTTTTTGCTACTTCACGTCTGCTGACAAAGCATGACTGAATGCAGGGAATGCTAATAGGAGACCCAGCTCTGGATGTCAGCTCCTACTGGAAAGAAGTGTCCGTATTACCTGCAGACACGATACAGCAGAGTCCTTTTTGATCTGGTTCCTCTGAAAAGGTGACACAACGGCTAGACAGCAGTGCACTCATTTTTATAATTTAAGAGCACTTTAAACTTCACAGGTTGGCATTTGTGAGGTATTATTTGCTTATTTAAATGTTCAGTTTAGAATTTGTAGGGGGTTTCATTTTCTGCTTTGTAGCCAATGTTTATCACTTAAAGTACAGGTACTTACATCATAAGTAGCAGTATCTGATTTTACACTTGATACTGCTTAAATTTACATCCATCTTCAAGTAATCATCTGTTACCTATTGCTGTTTTACAGAGGTTTATATTTCCTTGAATTCAGAACACTTGATATTCCTTGTCTTGCTTGTAAATATTATTTCTTGACCAAGATTAATTTTTCTGCTGACAGTTATTTTTTGCATTGGCAGATTCCTCTAGATATTTCTTTTGTCAATAGTCTTCTGACTGGGTATTAAAGAGAACAACATATTCTAGTTTTAATCCCCTAACTGAAATTAAGATTTCTTAGTGAAGTTGAAAAAGCAAAACTGAATCTTAATTTACAGACTGGGATGTTCTGAAAAACATTTAATTATGCACAGTTAACATGTCGCTGGTGAGAATAGTTTCCTTCAGCAGAGCTCCAATTGTGAAGCTTTTTATTCATCTGCCACCTAATTCCATACATACTTTCCTGTCTGCTTTTAAAGTGCCTGAGTTTCATGTTTGGAGTTCTGCCTCTCTGCATCCATCTGTGTTTAGGAGATAGCAACACACCTGGCAGCACAGAATCATAGAATGGTTTGGGCTGGAAGGGGCCTTAAAGACCATCCAGTTCCAACCCCCCTGCCATGGGCAGGGACACCTTCCACTAGACCAGGTTGCTCCAAGCCTCATCCAGCCTGGCTTTGGCCAGACAACTCCCTGGAATCAGGTGTTGGTCCCTTGATCGGGTATGAGCTGTCAGAACCTGGCTACTAAACCCGGACAGATTTGGTACCTATTGCAGGAGTTCTCACAAGGAAGCAAAACCCTGATCTTCCATTCAGTTCCGGCAGCTGTTCTGGCAGTGTATCCAGTGGTTAAAATACACACTAGAGTTAAAACTCAGAGATCCATGAACAGCAGCCGAGCAGTCTCTCGGAGTGTTGTCTCTGCTAGGCTACAGAAGTCGTGTTTCATTTCAGGTTCTTCTCCTGAGTTAATGAAATCTGAATCAGTGGATTTTTAGACTAAAATGATGTTTCAATGAGCTTATAGCCCTGAAAAGGAGCAGTCTTGATGTTTTGGGATGTTTCCAAAACAAACTCCTTCAGACAGAAAAAAAAAATCCACACTTAAAATACAAACCAACCCGACCCATCCACCATTACATGATGCTGTGAACAACTGTGAATTAACGTATTACTCGTTTAGTTGGAGTTTCACTGCGTTGTTGAATTAGTTCTGCTGTACTCAGTTGGTGGTTTTTTTTCTCCCAAAAGCTTCAAAATTGACTAGACAGATAGTAGTCTTAGAAGATAAGAAACACAGTCAAGAAGAAGAGATAGCAGAGTACCAGAAGCAGCTGGAAGCTCTGCGTTCTACTTGTGAAGAGCTGAAAGCCAAACTGGGGAGCAGCGTAGCAGCAGAGGAGCACTTGGCTTTGGTGAACGATTTAAGAAGGTATGAGTTTCACATGGCACGCAGAGCAGCTCTTCACAAAGCGTTCACGCAAACAGACCCGTATACGTGGCGCTGTCAGTAGGAGGCGAGCGGAAGCTTATGCTGGTAATCAGTGCAGGTTGCTACCAAAGCACAAAGCAATATTTCAAGAATACTGTCTTGCTAAAAGACAGTAATTAATTAGGAAGGGTGCACAGGGTATTTTTATATTTAAAGTCTACTTCGAGTGCAGTCAGGATGAGTTAAGTGAATAATGTTGTTTATGTGATGTATTATTTGTATTCGTGATTGGTATGTCATGAGGCTGTAATACCTCTGTGATGTCATCACGGAACATTAAGCGTTCTCAGTGTATTTTTTTCAAACCTTCACAGTATCACTGAGGTTGGAAAAGACCTGTAAGATCACCCAGTCCAACCATCAACCCAACACTCCCACACCCACTAGACCGTGTCCTCATGCGCCATGTCTACACGTTCCATCAACACCTCCGGGGATGGTGACTCCACCACGTCCCTGGGCAGCCTCTTCCTGTGCCTGACCACTCTCTCAGTGAAGAGGTTTTTCCTAATATCCAATCTAAACCTCCCACACACAACTTGAGGCCGGTCCCTCTTGACCTTCAGCATGCGTATCTTACCGTAACTCAGCTTTCCTGTGAAGCAGGTCAATACGTGACACCTCTTCTACGCTCTTGTTTGTTGCAGCCATTTACAACAGGAGCAGGAGAAAAAGCACAGTGAGGTGGAAGATCTGATGGGAACGATAGCATCACTGCAAGCCCAAAACAAGAAGCTGCTTTTGGAGAAAAATAACTTAACAGCTGACAACAAGATCCTGGAAACTGAAATGGAAAAGATGCAGAAGACAAACAGGTCATATCACGCTCTCATTTCCTTACATAGAAATACTTCTATTTCTAAAAAAACCAGCAGAAACATCTGTAAAAGTATTGTCTGACATCCCACGGTGTGTAATTTCTACCTGTTAAAAAAACCCCCTTTCCTAAATACATCTTGGTCACATCTAAAGGGCTGGTCCTCAAGTGACTTTGCTAAGCTTTCTGTGTTCTCAGGCACGTTTTTCTGTGTCTGCAGAATGTACCTTTAATGCCAGCAGGTAGCTGTCACAATTAATCACTGTGGAGCCCTCAACATCAGAAGGATATAGACTGGTTGGAATGAATCCAGAGGAGGCCACAAAGATGCTCAGAGGGGTGGAGCCCCTCTGCCATGGAGACAGGCTGAGAGTTGGGCTTGTTCAGCCTGGAGAAGGGAAGGCTCCGGGGACAAGGAAGCTGGGGGGGACTTTTTACAGGGGCCTGTAGTGACAGGACAAGGGGTAACGGGTTTAAATTGAAAGTGGGGAGGTTTAGATTGGATATCAGGAAGAAGTTCTTCCCGGAGAGGGTGGGGAGCACTGGGACAGGTTGCGCAGAGAAGCTGTGGATGCCCCATCCCTGGGAGGGTCCAAGGCCAGGCTGGATGAGGCTTGGAGGAACCTGGTCTAGTGGAAGGTGTCCCTGCCCATGGCAGGGGGGTTGGAACTGGATGATCTTTAAGGTCCCTTCCAACCCAAACCATTCTGTGATTCTGTGATTTGTGTACTCACCTGAAAAGTAGGGCATTACGCTATCTGCAGACCTTCTCAGGCACCTGGCTGGTTCAGACTTGGGCTTACAATAATTTCGACAGTAAAAAGCAGTATTATTGTTACATTTCTTAAGAAACACAAGCTTGTAGCCATCACACAAAGCAGGTTTTTTTGAATCATTGTTACTGCTGTTATTTACAGGACATGTTGTAAAGAAAAAAAGCCCCCGAAAGTGGGAAATTACATTAGCTCAAAATACTGCTGAGAATGCATCCTTAACGGTGTATTTGGTTGTTTGAGACTTGTACAAGCTGATCTGCATGTGCCATGCAAGTTCTTTTAATGCCGTTATTAATTTCAAATCTGAAGATTTTCCTTTTTCTGTTAATTTTACAGGCAATTAAAGAAGAAAATAGGTCTTCTGCAACACCATTTGGAGGAAGCAGCGGAAAAAGAAGATGCAGCGTATCACCATCTAACAAACCTCGTTGGTTTGGTGGAAAAGATAGCTCAGGAGCGTGACCATCTTCTTTTTTTGGTAATTACCTTTAAATAATTCTTATGACTTACTGATACTTCACACAATTACCATCCTTCTAGCAGAACTTACTGTTAATTTGAATGATCCAAAAAGACAGCTGTAATTTCCATTTAAGGATTTAGCTATTTAAACAGGATAGGGGCAGCAAAAGATGATTTTCTGGAAGAGTGGTTAAAGGCAACTACCCTCATTTCTGGAGATGATGTAGTTAAGGCTCAACTCACCTCGGCATTAGGCTCTGCAGCGGCGTATCTCAAGTTTCAAAGATCGGCGTCACGCGTTTAAGCTGCGTGTATTGAAGAACAGGTGGCTCTGAATCTAAAGGTAAAACGTTACCTGGAGCGATCCGTAGGGAGCTGCTGCGGCGGAGGCACACGCACGTTTGTGCTTCTTTCTGGCGCGCAGTCATTTAGCCAGGCTGGTGGAGAGTTTCGGAACAACTTCTGCTTGGCGGGAGTGTCCGGCATGGGAGCTACCCGGCTTTGTACAGGCATGCTTCCTTTCCCCTGCAAGACCCTGGGCACAGTTTCGCTTTTACATATTGGTACTCTCTCTTAAGATTGGTCCTGGAAATCATTTTACAGAAGTCTGTTAAAATAAAGCCGCTTCTGTTCAAGTAGTAGACACGCTGCTGTCATCAGTGTTGGGTGAAAAGATTCTACTGCGGCTAATTCCAGGTTCGAGTAGAGGAACTGTGGTGACCCCGCTCAGATCCTGGTCCACTGCAAAGCAGGCTGTAGGACCGTGAAACCAGGCACAATAAACATCTCCTAGGGATCAGGAGCACTGACGCTTGACTCGCCATCTCTGGGGTATCTACCTTCAAACATTCAGCGTACTGCTTCAGAACTGCCCCGGAGATCCCGCATTACCTTAAGTAGCCATCAGAAAACCTGCTCCTGCGTTCCATGGATTTAACAGCTGAAACCTCTTCCAGTTTTAAAACTGTTTCCTTGTTTACCGTTTATGCAGTTTTTGTTTGGTTTGCTTTTTGTATCTGAGAGAGAATGTTTATGAAATGATGGGAGCAGTCGTAAGACAAGCATTTCATACACCACGTCTCGGATGCTTTGCCTGAACCCCTCTTTTGGAAGCAGACTACAGAACCTGGCCCAGAAGGATGAGCCTTGTGCACACAAGTGGGATCCCTACATATACACACATCTGTAGAAAACCGTGCAGAGTTGCTAGGGTGTGCAGTATCAACAGCTATGATCCTTTCAGGATAAAACTGCTCCAAGGTGTTGTTTTGTTAGGGAGATGGTATTCCCAGTCAGCTGACAAGGTAATAATTTGTCATTATTCTAATAACTTTCAGGATTTCCATTTTGGTTCTTCAGACCACTGGAACCCCAAACAATCCCTGTGTCTTCCTCAGTGCACGTATTTTGGCTGCCCCCGTCTAAAGCAAAGATTACATGTAGTTAACACATTCGGTATGTTTGCAGGCCAGATGTTTGGAGAGTGAGAATCACGGCGTTCTCAACAGAGTCGTACAAGGCAACCTACGCTTAGGAAGATTAGAAGAAAAGGTTAAGGTAAGCAGCATTTCTACACTAACTATGTAAAATGTGTTGGTTTTTCAATGAGACAAGTCAGTAGTTGATCTGTGTCAGTGTTTTTATCAAAGACGGATTATTTTGTAAGGAGTTTTTAGAAAGCAAAATACATCATCATTGCAGTTTTCACAAATACCCTTTTCTCACGCGTTCACAGCAGTACCTGGAGAAGCATGGCTGGTTGTAAGAATAATTCCGAATTCATTTCTGCTCTGCAGTGTAACCCAGCTCTTTGCTCCTACTTTTCTGAGGCTGTACAAACGCTTCAGCTTGAATCCTGGCACGGTTAGATTTGGAAGAATGAAAAACATATCCTGAGCATCCAGTTGTCAGCAAGTACCTTTACAGGCCACAGGGTAGGAGGTGTAGAGACTCGGAGGATGTTTAACCATCCCGCCCAGTGAGAGAATAGGATGTGGGTCACCTTCACATTTGTGAAGCAAAGCGTGTCACTGCAGCAGTACCATCCCGCCCAGTGAGAGAATAGGGTGTGGGTCACCTTCACAGCTGTCCACGCTGGTGCAAAGCAAAGCGTGTCACTGCAGCAGCGTACAGTGGGAAATACCTACGAAACTTTCGTTTCGACGTCTTTGGTGCTGCAGTAATTGCACTTCCTGTAAACTCAGAACAGGAAGGAGAAGGCTATCCAGTGTCTTGGTTTCTATACACAAAAAGTAATGTGTATGCCTTTCAGAAGCTGTTCTGTACTGAGTCAGGTCTGTGCAGCGTACCCTAACACAGAGAGTCTCCCCATACACTGCGCTTTTCCCGGCGAGACTGCGCTGCTGTTGTTGCATCACAACACAGATATGCACCTCTAGGGTAAGAGAGACCAGCTCCTTCTGCACTCTCCTTGTAAGGATTACACAGCCCAGGAATTGGCAACAAAGGAAACAAACCAAGTTGTCGGTGGAGAGAGCGAGCAGTAAGCCCTAAACCAGCTAGAATTTGTAAGGAACCCTTCATAAGAGAAATGCACAGAGCACTACCACAACAAAATTCCCTCATTGTACTAATACAGCTATGAAATGGTTTTAGCCATTTTTCCCTGTCACTCATGTCTGGTTAAGTTCAGAAAACATCACTACCAAGACAGTGCCCTGTATTCTTCATAAGTACAGAGTTTCTGCAATTTAATAGATCTGTGACTACTATAAGGGAGAGAGAAGAGACTTGTATAGAATCACAGGATGGTTTGGGTTGGAAGGGACCTTAAAGCCCATCCAGTTCCACCCCCCCTGCCATGGGCAGGGACACCTTCCACTAGACCAGGTTGCTCCAAGCCTCATCCAGCCTGGCCTTGGACACTTCCAGGGATGGGGCATCCACAGCTTCTCTGGGCAACCTGTCCCAGTGCCTCCCCACCCTCTCCGGGAAGAACTTCTTCCTGATATCCAATCTAAACCTCCCCACTTTCAATTTAAACCCGTTCCCCCTTGTCCTGTCACTACAGGCCCTTGTAAGAAGTGCCCCCCAGCTTCCTTGTAGGCCCATATAAAATTAAGACTATTTATATGGAGTGAATTCTAAATGCAAAACCAAATAAAATTTTAAAAAATCCTTCCAAACCCATCAAGGGTTAATGTAAACTAGAAAAATCAGCCTGTAAATAAAGATCCTAAATGCTGCCATTTCTGTTTAGCAAAGGTAAGACTGATCCACGTGCAAAACTTGTCATTCTTCGTTTCTGGCAGTAAAGCAGAGGGCTTGAACAGTCACAAAGTATCTTCAGATACCGTAGACTTCTTGGTTATTGTATTAACTGAACTGTGCTGAAGGCCAGCATCGTTTATTTCCTTGCTGAAAACACCTTAACTTCTTACACACCTCGTCAGGTAATCCCCTCTCCTAAACAAGCTTGTGAATGCCTCGTCAGTGATTTCGGGAAAGTTATGGGGATTCTTTTGGTCTGAACACACCGTCAGCTTTTCACTTCGGTTCTTTTTAGTCACAAGACTTCCCCACTCCCCCGACGTGACGCCGTTCCTCCTGCAGGACGGGCTGTATTGAGCAGGCTGCTTTCTCAGGTGCTGCTGACAAAAACTCAGGTCAAGGCAAAAAGGGATTCTTCAGCTGCCAAGGCGCAGGTTGGCCTCTGCAGCGCGTGCGCAGTTCTAACCCCCGTGACCCCGGAGCAGCAGCTTCCTTCGAGGTCCGGCTGAGGTGGCCGAGAGGGCTCCCTGGTGAGTTTATCGGCTGGAGCACACTACTGTTGGCTGCTTCGGGAACCCACAAGCTGGGTAACTGCCCTGCTGAGGTTACAGGATGAACCTCTTCCGAGGTATTTAGTAGTATCACTGGAGACACCTACTTAAAATGCACCCTTTTTCTGAAAGGGTGATATAACTGCTGGCAGCGGGCGTGGCAACGCTGTTTCTTATCTTCAAAAAGGGTGTTTTGCGCTGGCCTTTAGCCATCTTCAGCTCCTTCAGCGAGATACAAGATAAGAAATACAAATGGTGTCATCCTCATTGGAACATCTGGGGTTCTGGTGAGAAGAAAGCTTCTAGCCTGGAGGTCTGAGTCACTCCCAAGTGCCTACAGTCACTCTTTAGCCATAACTGGGTATCTTACGTTCACCTCTCGGTGAATTCATGGCATCACGTCTCAGCAAGCACAGGTTCAGGCTCGTCCAGAACCTGCGTTAGGGCTCAGGTGCACCGTGGGTGTGTCAAGAGATTCTCTGTGGCTCTTTCGCATCACGGCACGTTATCTGAGGGGAGGCCTCACTGAGCAAGCTGGCGTTCCTATGCCCTTGAGATCGCTGCCCTCTGAAGCCCGGTCATTTGTGCGGTGCACACAGAAGTGGATCTGGTCTTCTGGTCCACAGTTCTTCCTTCTCATGAATTCTTCTGGAGAAAGTAAACGAACAAAACCCCTGTGCTTTCTGTTTCCCAGTGAGAGGTCTGGAAATAAATCAAGATCTGGCAGATCTGTTATTACATGCAGAGTCACTGAAAATCTTTAAAGCTAAGTAACAGGTTATTGCTAAAATGAAACCCAAACCCATATATTTATATACACAGCTTTATTAGAGATTTTAAACTGGGTAGCAAACATGAAGGAGCAACATTAAGTAGCAAATCCAAGGGATTCTCTTTACAAATACCCACTTTCAGTCTGGGATTTAGCAGTTACTGTAAACAGATTTTATGAAGTTACTCACCGTGCAGCAAGTTTTGTGGGCTCAGTGCCACCCTGCAGAATTTAGTAAGAGTGGAGCACAATCAAAGAGGCTGGACGCAAACATTGCGAAAAAGGGATCATTTCTGCGCAGGAGCTACGATAAAAATTTACTTGGGCATTTTAATTCTGAAAACAAATCTGGTTCATATCTACTTTTAGATCCTTTGGCTTATGACAGATGATTTTTCAGGCGTGTTGAATCGTGAAAAACACTAAAGCTGACTTTTAAAGTCTTTTTTTTTTTTTTAGTTCACCCTTGAAGATTCAACTACAAGCTGCTTTGTCGTAATTCTTGTATCTCAAAACCTGATCGTAGAGCAGAGTATTTAACACATCTTTATTTCCCTTGACATCACACACAGCTGGACTCAAACCCAAACCAGCTTGTAATGGGACTCCTTTCACAGCTGATACACAGGGACTTTCCCATCTCCATCTGCCTTTAAAAACAGAGACAGTGTGCTCATTAAAAACCCTGCTTTTGTCACTAACTAACCTTCCCAGTGAATGAGGTGGTGGTCTGAAACCATTCACAACTTCGGGATGAGGTGACAGTAACCACCATCTTCCCAGTAAAATTAAAAACCACAGCAGTAACACGCTGCCACTGACCAATATTCACACAAGTTGCTGTGCTTCAACAAAAAACACACGTATGTCGGGCTGTACTCATTTTTTTAACCATCCACAGAGGTTGACGTTTGTGATTCAGTTGTTTTACGGTCCAGCCCAAAAGGTACCCGCTGGTAAAAGGCCGCGTATCAGGCTTGCGGCGGGCAGTCCCAGCTGCTGTGGCAGAGGCGCTGGCAGATGCCGTACAAGAGACACGCAGTTAGGCTGGCAGGAACAAAACTCACGCAGGCCACGCCGAGGGTCGCTTTCTGAATCACTAGTAAGTAGATCCCGAGAGGGAGGGAACCAAAGTAAAGACATCCAAGCAGCCACACCAGAATTCTGGGTATGCACCTGCGCAGCTTTGAAAATCGCTCCTGGCCCAGCTGCCTCTGGGAGTTCCGAGGGGGTAACTCAGTGCCGTGGTCAGCGTAACCACGGGGGGCTGTGCTGGGAGTCCTTGGGGGGGCTCTTCCTATTTCCGTGATTGTAATTACTAAGCAGTTTGATCCATGGGAAGGAGCCGAGGAAGCCAGGTTTTTTGGTATTACAACTACTCCTTTGCAGTCAGAATTCCACGCTGGTTTGTCTTCCAACACGAGCCTGGACATAACGTTTGTATCGCTGGGGAGTCCTTCAACTTCCCCTTCAGGCAGCTCTGTCTCACGGCGGCAAAAGGGACAGTTGAGGCAGGGATACCCGTCTCCTGTACGGAGTATGCGAGTCGCACAGCTAGCACAGACTCTGTGAAGACAATCCAAGAGTTTGGGCTTACGGCTGTGGATCGTAAATCTCTGGTAACAGATTTTGCACTCCAGTCCGTCGTCGGGCAACCGTTCCTCTCCGTCAGCACAAGTGTCAGTCATCTTTACGCCAGATGCGCTGTCAGACAGAAGCGAAATTGTAACGAGCTGTTTCACGATTCCGACTCTCTCGTTTTGTAGTAACTTTATTAATGGTAAGGTTTTAGTAAAAATAGGTAGGGACAACCTTTATACTGAAGATACCTAGCTTCTCCCACTGTAGCTCCCCTCGTTTTCATCCAACTTTACCCAACAGCCCACCCTTAATTATTTTTTTCCTACCTACTGGCTGCGTATTGCATTTAAAGTACGAAATTGTTAGTGGCAAAGAGAAAGCATGAAAGGTCTGCTCTGAGCGCTGGGGAGCTGTGCGTTTCGGAAAGGCCTGTACCCCCTGCGTGGGTCACCCTGTTCCCGTAAGCCGGCTGCGCACACCTGAGCGCAGCAGGGACGCGTCTTCCCCCCGCTGCTGCCCACACTGATCTGGGCTCAGGAGAGGTGCCTGGGGTCTGAGAGCAGCAGTTCAGTTGGGTCTCGCTGCACGCGCGGCTCTTCCATCCGGGGAGCGTTGTGCACCGTTAGCACTCCAGCTTTTCCACGCTGGGGCCCGTGACAATTCACGGAGCAGCTCTGACACATGAGAGCAAGGCCGTGCTGATGGAGAGGTCAAACTGCAAATCACTGTCTCGTGCTGCTGCTTTTGCTGGCAGCAAGTTGTCCTCATGTCTCCTATATTTGCGTTTTTCTACTACCTTTAACCCCTGCAGGTGTATAAGAAGAAAGCAGCTGGCAAGCTTGGAGACATCAGCCTCAAGATGACGGAGCAGGAGAAAGAGTTTGCGGGGAAGACTGCTCAGTACCAGCAAGAAATGAAGCACCTCAAGTGCCTGCTGCAGGACAGGCAGGACACCCTGGATGAAGTGCTGCAGCAGAAGAGGTAAGCCAGGCCCAGCTCCGTAGCACGTTCGTGTTACCGGCGTGCAGGGGAAGCTTTGCGCCGCCGCAGGGAGGTAGCAAAGCGGGCGTCCTGCGGGTCGCCTCTGCCCCTGTGAAATGAGGGACTCAAAGCCAGTACAGAATGGGGCTTGGTATTGTCTGATCAGTCAGCACAGTTCCTCCCAAGTGCTTTATACCTGCTGGTGTCAGTAGCTGGGAATCCTACAAGGAACATCCCGCTGATCTCAAACGTGCATGAGAAAAACAGTATTATGGCTGTTTCTCTGGAAATAGCTACTTAGGAATTTTAACTTATCATACCTTTCACACCTCTGAGCTCATGCTGCTTTTTTTACAGCAGACGATGACTAGTTAAATAAAGAGTTGTTTGGGGTTTTTTTCCCCAAAGTACAAAGAGCACAGTTCTAAGTCCCATCATATGGACCATCCAAAATTTACCTTTCTAGCCCCAAAGTAGGTAAGTGAGCTGGCGTAACACAGCCATGCCCAATAATCAATTACACTTCTGTCCATACAGAAGTTACACTTCTTCCCCTTCAGCCTGTATTGACTCATTTTTCTTCAGTAAGCACACAAATTAATACTGGCAACTAACTTTTAAGAAGCAAGAGCTGCACCTGGAACTACAACCCGGTGAAGAAAAATGGTTTGTGGAAACTAGCCTAAGATGAGCCTCACGGAGATGCCTTGCATTTCTGCCGTCTCCTGCGTTAATGAACGGCCTTTCCCGGGGGCAGTTGAGTCTTAACAGTATTCGAGTATATTATAATGAACACAAAGTAAAAAATCATCTTTATGTTAATCTTTCACATCATATTTTGGTGCATCTCATCACCCGCTGTTTTCTTTCGGTAACTGCATCAAAACCTGTTTCTGAAAACCGACCCACCACCGTGAAGTCAGCTGAATTCTATACCTATAGAAAAGAGTATTTTTATGAAACCAGTCAGCAGCACCAGCTAACACCACGGCTGATGCTGTTCCTGTAAACTGGCTTCCTCAGGATCCTTTGCTCATCTCAAGGAGGGGTAATCAGTTTCCTGAGGGAATCCAGCTACTCAGTAGTACTGCTATGGCTGTCTGCCAGGATTTAAACATACATTTTGGTCAGCTTCATGTATTTCTGGTTTTATAAGGCTTATTATTTTCTCTTTCCCGCCCCAACACACAGTTACAAGAGTCAAGAAGGGAAAATGGTTATTTTTAGTTTAGGTGTTGCTAGTAGCTTGGCAGCTGAAGTCACTGGTGCCAGGCCAGTACCAAACACGTACACTTACTCCCACTAGCTCCGCTTACGCAGTACCGTTACAGACCAGAAAGCAGCCTGGCTGACAGCGTTTCAGCTCCACATACCTGTACGCACCCCGAAGGTACGCGCATAGACACTCACTGTATTGAGGGGTTTTCAAGACGGTATCACACTGTAAATATATTGTATAGGAGATTCTCCAGTTCAGTGATTAAGTAACGGAAGCCCAAGTGGCATGCCACATTCCAGGCAGGAAGGCCGGTTCGCTTGCAGACTGGGCGGCAGGCCTGCTGTCTGCACAGCCCATGTGGATGCTGGAGTTCCAGTTTTTCTTCAGGAAGGTCATAACCCAATTAAGCTGTTTAAAGGCGCTGAGCACAGTCAGTCTAGGCAAAAGCATTGCAGGTGGGTGAGGACCGGAAGCTTTTCCATGGATTTGCTTTTGTTCTTGCATTTAATCGTGGAGTTCAGAAACGACCCCACACCTGCCTTCGCTTCTGCCACCCAGCTCTTAGCCCAAACCTTCACCCTGTCTGTTGTCCGTGCCACAACTTCCGGTAGAAGCAAGGGAAGGTAGCACCTCGGGTCTGGAAAGGGCGGAGTCCTTTCAGTTCTTTCCCAGCACATCAGAGACGAGCAGCCCCACCCTCTCCACGTGGACAGGACCGTGGCGGACCCCACGGCCAGCAGGTCAGGATGCTCCCACGCACCCAGGGCGGCACCAGCGCGCCGGGTACCGCGCGTACCCCGAGTTCGGAAGTGCCGTTCCTTAACACGCAGCGACACGCAGGTGCCGCCTCCTTCGTGTTTCTTCTCTGATCACTCGAGCAAATCTATATCCGAACTAGCGTGGGCTTCAGGAGCCACAGCAGAGGTGACCCTCCGCTGAAGTGTTCTCCCCTCCCACATCTCTTCCACCCCATGGCAAAGGTCAAGGGTGGCACCACTTGCCTACTGCCTCCAGAAATTTTCCAATTGGTTTTCAAAAAGAAATGCACACGGATATATTTGTTCTTTTGATAAAAGCTTTTAAAGCTTCTAAAGATACCCAAACCGTACCTTCCTAGAAGCTGCTCCGCAGAGCCTGGCAGTAGTTGCAGAGACTTCTGGGAACTCTGTCTGGCCTTTCACCTGGAGAAAGCAGTGCCGTTCGCTGTTCTTCCGGCACCTGCTAATCACGGTGACATTTCTGTGGTGTACAGGGTAATCTTATGAGTCATCACCATCACATACCTTTGCTTGAGTGAAGGCACTGCACGTTTCAGATACAAACCAAGTTGTTAACGTGCTTCTGGGGTAGAAAACCAGGTCGTAAAATGCCTCAAGTCTTACTTCACAGGGCACTCACACTGTGACCTAGAAAATTCAAAGGTATTTCGTAAGGCTTCTGCAGAGGTGCAGTACTTGGAGATAATTGCAGCTGCTGTACTTCGGATGCCGAGTGCGGTAAGGGAACTGCCACAGACTGTCCTCAGGAGATGCAGAAAAGCTCCTCTGCCATGTGCAGGGAAGGGAGGGGAGCTGTCTTATCGCTGAGGTTATATATAAAGCTGTAACCATGACAGAACTGTTTATTGCTGTGATAAGGACTATTTAAATCAACTCTTAGAGGGCAGATGGAAATGAATTCTTGAACCAGCAGCCCAAGGAAGATTTTCAGAGATGGAGGCTGATGAATCACAGGATGGGTTGGGTTGGAAGGGACCTTAAAGACCATCCAGTTCCAACCCCCCTGCCATGGGCAGGGACACCTTCCACTAGACCAGGTTGCTCCAAGCCTCATCCAGCCTGGCCTTGGACACTTCCAGGGATGGGGCATCCACAGCTTCTCTGGGCAACCTGTCCCAGTGCCTCACCACCCTCTCCATGAAGAACTTCTTCCTGATATCTAATCTAAACCTCCCCACTTTCAATTTAAACCCGTTACCCCTTGTCCTGTCACTACAGGCCCTTGTAAAAAGTCCCCCCCAGCTGCCTTGTAGCCCCTTCAGGTACTGGAAGGTGCTATAAGGTCTCCCCGGAGCCTTCTCTTCTCCAGGCTGAACACCCCCAACTCTCTCAGCCTGTCCCCATGGCAGAGGGGCTCCAGCCCTCGGAGCATCTTCATGGCTTCCTCTGGACTCGCTCCATCTGGTCTGTATCATGAATTTATTTCAGGGAGGGCAGAAAGCTCTCTCTTTTGTCAAGAAGAATCAAGTTCACATTTTGGCTAGGTTAGGCGTTGAATGGCATTTTTATTTTTACTCATTTAAGTAACACCAGCCTGCGTTTAGGGGAACCAAACTTAGTTTGTTTTGCCTAAATACACCTGGAAGCAGGACACATTTACTACCATGTGCTGTCTAGTTTTAAAAGCCAAGTAAAGGCTTGTGTTTGAGGAGGTGAAGCGGGTGCCGTGGGCGTAACGGCACAGCAGGGGTTACCTGTGATCTGCCTGGGGAGTGGCACAGCATCAGTGTCAAGGACAACACTTGGCAGAGCTCAGGGGAGCTTCTGGTGGGATACGGCAGAGTGTGAGCGAAGGGCAGTGAGGGGCATTCCCAGTGACGCTGGAGCAAGGCAGCTCTGGTGCTGAGCAAACACAGCCCCGGCAGCCGGGGTCGCCAAGCCGCCCTGCAATCCGCGTTCCCAAGACGGCCGGGAGGTTGTGACTAGCAGGAGTAACTCCAAAGTCAGCGAGCACTTCCAGGTTCTGCATCTCAGCTCCACTGAAAAATCAGTGCTCCAAGGAGACTTCAGACACACCACTACCTCTAAAGGCATCGCTTTCCTTGCTACTGAAGTCATTTTAACCATGTGGGTACTTTAAAAACTAGTATTGTGTAACTATTTTTGCCAAAACTGAGGCAGTTGCTACTGAACATAGGGACTGCAAATGAGCATCCCGTTTGCCAGGCGCGCTGGCGGCATCAAACTGCAGTTCAGAGCGCAGCGAACTTGCGTTTCCCCTTCTTCCAGCTTTCTCTGCCTCAAGCTCCTAACAGTCTTTAAAAACCAGAAAGTCTTGGGGTTAGCAATTTGCAGCTGAAACAAAGCCCGGGCAACCTTCCACACCGCTGCGCGGGTGAGCCGGATGGAGCTCGCGGGCGTGAAGAGCAGAACGCCCGAGCGCTGGGCACGCTGTGCGCAGGCTCCATGGCGACAGAGGACAGGATCTCGTCCCTTTCCCGACGGGGAAGTTCGTTCTCCTGTTCAGGAGCATTTCTGCACAGGGCAGCCACGTGCTTTGGGCAGGGGCTCGAGGTGAGCGTGTTAGGGGAGTCTGTACCGCTAGGATTTGTGTGCTTCATCCTCCACACGTTTCACATCATTTTGTATTTTGACATACACTAGAAGCAAGTCAGAGGAGACCCAAGAGCTAAACCTTGACCAGACGTAACTCAGAGAACAGTCTGTGGCTGGAATACCCTGCAGTGTTACGGGAGGTTAGCCTCCACACCTCAAAAATCACCTTTGTCTTGTGAAAACCATTAAATAATGCATTCCTTTAATCCTTCAGCAGTCAGAGAAACGGGGCCGTAGGGTTACAAAGCCTTCACTGTCTTTACCTCCCCCCCACTAACGTTTGACCTCCACGAGGCATCAGCGGATGCCCCGCTGGGTCAGACGCTTGCAGCCTCCGAGGGGAGACGCAGCACCCCGGGCACGGGGCAGAAGGAAGGGGCAGGCGGTGCAGACGTACCTGTCGCAGGAAGTGCCGTCGCGACGGACCCAGATTCACTGGAGAGCCACAGTCACGATACTTGGATCTCACGTGTGCCGCTCCTTGGTGTGGGCTTCACCCAACTCATTACGTGGGTCTGAATCTTTTCCCTGGATCACATCCTCTCTGGCGTTACGTTCAGCGGGCTTTGTTCAAAAACACAACAGGAACGAACTTCACTCCGGTAACCAGAAGCAGCGAAATACAGGCCGTCTGTAACGTGCTCATACACGGGGCACAAAGCGCGTGCTGCTGGGACGGGCTTTTAAAATGAGGATTTCTCTTCTTTTTTTTTTCTAGGAAAGTGGAAGGGGAACTTGAAATCATCTGGGAATCCACATCCAAAGAAAACAGGAGAATGAGAGAACTCTTGCATAAATCGCTGGGGAAGAACAACATGTGGAGCGCTGTCGCAGCTCAGGAGCCGTACCTGGATGAAAGCTCTCACAAGGACCTACTTTACGGACACGATTTTAGCTACTGTGACGTGAAACCTCCATCCCCTACTGCAGGCGAAATTCGGCAGGAATCTCAACCGTAAGAACAACACCCCCGCGCACGTCTTGCCCAAGAAAGAGAACGCGGGGCCCCAGTTTGACCGTTTCAACACAAGGTGGAATAGAGCCTTCACAATTCCTGTCTGTTTTAGCATCATGAGAGCACCACCCGCGCGCTCTCCAGCTGCGGCGACACCAGTGTAAGTCTCACCTAAAATAAAACTTGTATTTTTTTGAAAAGAGCAAGGCTGTTCCTTGTTAAGGCAGAATGTGGTGCAGCTCTAAGTGAACCTGGAGAGAGACATACCCAATTAACAAGGTAAAGAGGGGCCAGGCTCGGTGTTCTGGCACACACACACCCTGCCGCACACGAAGCGCTCACGCTCAGTACCAGAACACGGTGCTAACGCAAACCCCCGTAAGTGTCACAGCTGTGTGGTGTCAGGAACAACAACGACAACTCCCGCTGGCTTTGCTCAGAGGTAACAAAAGGAGTAGAAAGCCAAACACCAAAAAGAACAGATAGGGTTTGTGTCGACAAAGTCTTGCGCTTCCCCGAGGTGTTCTCCTGAGGGAGAGGCCGTGGCTGAGCGGGAGGTTATTTGGGAGAGGGTGGGGAGAGCCCTTCCTGTCACAGCACCGCGTTCAGCGCTGCCCCCACGTGCTGGTTCGAAAGCAGCTTCCGCGACGCAGCGGGGAGGCCAAGACTGCAGGCCCAAAGCACCTGCAGAGTCTTGGTGCGCGCGGGTACCTCCCGAGCGAGAGAAAACACCCCGGCAGCCGAGTCAGAAATACGTACGGGTCCTATAACCTGTGGGGTTCCATTATGTGCTTTAATTGCTTCTCTGCTGGTGATAAAGCGAGTGCAGCAGCCTCGGCAGCTCACCAGGATAAGACTGCAGGACGCCACAGAAGACTCTGGCTAAGGAGCCAGCACTACTGCCTCACCGTCTCCTCCCGCAGACTTCGCCAGAGGAGCATCTTCACACCCTTTCCTTCGCCTGGCTTTTGTAACTTGATTATTTTTGGACTCAAATCATGCAGAATAACTCCAAAACACGATTTTTAAGCAGAATCTTCAGTAACCTGACTTAACAGGTGAAGATTTTGCAGGGCGGGGCGTTGCTGGGGTTTTGGAGGGAGGGTCGGGTGGGTGTGCTCTGGCACTAAACCAGTCCTGTCTCCCGTCTTCCTTCAATCTGAAGAACTACCGTGAAACGAAGGCCTGGAATACCTACCCAGACAAGTCAGGTATAGACTGTGCAGCGTACACCCTCCCGTCGCGGCCATACCCGCTCCAGCCTGCGCGTCCTAGCCAACTCCACGCGAACACGGCTACGCCCACGTTGCTTTTCATGCTGTTGAAGGCAGGTTTGGAAAAATGAAGTCCTTTATGACGTATTCTGAAGATAAGCACCTGATATGCAAATGCAACCTTGGAACTGCACGTGTAAATGATTTACATCTGGTTTTAATTGCCCTTTTGAAGGTATCTCAGGATTTTGTAAAAACAAACACCACCTTCACAGGGAAAAGAACTATCCAGAACACCATAATTCCTTAGAAAGAGAAGGCAGGGTTTTCCAAACTCTCTCAATATTGGCTTAACTGTTCTGCCACTTAGGTAAACCGGGAATGCCTTGGCATCGCACTTCTGCCAGCTCTGGTGCCCATTTTCACAGCTCATTTCGGAGCAGGTTGTACGGTATGGTTCAAAGGACAGTGACACCGTGCTCAGCAGTGCCGCACTCGCTCCGTCGTCTGCGTCTCCTTAACGCATCGCGTTACACTTTAAATGAGCTAACATTTAATCGGATCCCTAGGAGATGATCCATACCCAGTTCCCACCGCATTTGCAAGGAAACACAGATGGCCCATGGAAGACAAAGTCCTTTCGTGGCTCAGGACCACTTTTTTGGCATACCGAGAAATCCCACTAAAAGGCATTCTCAACGCCTACGTGCGTATCACTGGTGCAGCATTCCTGGACAGTAAAATCCTGAAACTGCTTCAGATTCACCAAAGCAAACACACCTGTGTCGGGTACTGTACAGACAGAATTAATGATCAGACAGCTGCTTCTCTCCAATCCCCTCTGACAGTTAGGAAAAACTCATTTTCTCTTTCAACCTTATAGAACACCTACAAGAACTGGGCTTCCCTTAAGCCTCTTTCAGAAGGAAATCTTAGGCTCCCGATGTTTTTTCGCCCTGCATTAACACACTTGGTTTTTTCTATGTACAAAAAGCACATGAAACGATGTTTATTGCCGACCACCAATTTTTAGGATTAGAAAAAACATGAGACAGGCATTAAATATTACGTTGAAAAAATTCAAAGTGATTTATTACAACACAACAACATTTAAATACTACGCTAAAAAACAAACCCAAAACCCCAGGAAAAACCCCAGAGAAATCACACTGAAATTACTGATGAAACAGGTAATTTCAGGAGTTCAGATTGCCCAGCAGGCAGTAGCACTGCTTACGGTAATCAGACAGAAATCGAGTGTCTCAAAAGCTGACTAGAAGTAACAGGAAGAGCTTCAGGGATGATCACCATCACTTCCATGCTTAAGCAGCAGCTAAAAGTAGACCCAAAATAATCATTCTGAGCACTGGAAAAAGCCTGAACAAGCCCCGAGAAACTAACCCAGTTTGGGGCATTTTGTGTATTTTGGCAGTTACTGACTCCTTCCAGGTTCAGAACGTCGACAAGCGAGGTCACCCTGGGGAGCTGCAGTTGAGGGGAATTTGACTGCATCACAGCACAACCAAACCCACGAGGAATTACTACAGGGACTTGACTTTACAGTACGTTTTATGAAAAAAAAGCATCTTTAAAAATGACAGGCGTTTGAAATTCGTAACATACACCCCACCCCCACAGTCAGCTGCCTGCAAACGCCAGCCAGGGGAGGCGACGAGGCCTGCGGTCAGCACGCGGCCTGGCTAAGCAGCGCCGGGCACTGCAGGCCAGAGCCACACGCTCGCTCTTCGCAGACGGGCCTTGGACAGTGAGAACACAGAATACGCAGCGGAACAGGGACCTTTGTTCACGTGGGGCTCTGGAGCTTTGTAGCTGAACTCCAGGGTTAGCAGCTCTCCACTGCAGGTACGCCTCGGCCCGCTGGACCCCACCGCTGGCCCCACAGGTGATCCGGCCACGCGCAGGACAGCGGCGGGAGCTGTGCGGATTCGCGACACGCAGGCCAAACCCCACCTCGTTCTTTTCCCGCCCAGAGCTGTGCCGGTTGAGTTAGCGCGCTCATGTCCGCTCGGTAAAACTGCTGATTTCCACCACGGGGAAAGGGCCGGGGAGCAGGCCTACGGGTACGGTTCCTGTGGTGTACTACACCGGGGAGGAGGCAAGCAGCCAGCCACCAGGAATTACAGCAACACGCCGTGTAACCACCAAACCAACGGACAGGAGATGGGCTGACCCGAATGATTCCAACACAGACACCTTCTAACGCACGCACAGACCCAAAACACTTGGAATACACCTTTTCCCAGGCCTGCCCGCACAGCACAGGCATTTATCTAGCAGAAGGGACCCGCATTCAGGTCAGGTAACTAAAGCAAGTTACAGAATGGTTTGGTTCCATCTGAAATCAGGAAAAAAAAAAAAGCTTTAAATGGGTTTGGTTAGAATGTGGAAAATTGAAAAGTTTGTTTAGTTCCTCTTTGTTACTTACTCTCTGGTACCTATTTTCTATACCAAATGCATGCTGTCATGCAAGTACAAGATCCATCCTTCTGGAATGAGCAGACAACACTCTTCCCTGGTCTTAATTTCTCATTACAAATCAGTTCCGTAGAGAAGCGCTGCCAACGGAACGACATTTTAACGCCATGCCAACGTGGGCAGCGAATCAGGCGCCAGCGCTGGAGAGCCTGGCTCTGTACCACACTGGAAGTTCTGTTCCAGTCACAAGATTGACACTGTGTTTCTGAAACACAAGTAGCTGGAAAATGCACAATTACATGAAGGGGCATCAAAGAAACACCTAAAGCAGCGGATGCATCTCCTAGCAGCACGAAGTAACAGCCCTCAGCAGGTCTCAGCGTGGCAACTGAGGACTTCAAGTGACCACGCCAGGCAGCATCCCACCGTTTCCCTTCAGCGGATACTCTGCCTTCCTTACCTTTCCTTCAGAGCCACGTTAAAGCCCAGCTCAAGCACGCCGCTACCTCGTGCGCAGCGACTCTTCTCCACAGCCCTGCTGCCCTTGCTCTGCTGCAGTTTTCGTCAGGAAGTGAGGGCAGAGGCGCTACGGAAGGCAGAAGCAGACAGGACCAGTTAGCGTTGGGCTTGAACCAACACAAGCAGCTGCCGATACGTGTTCTTCCCTTTAAAACACTATCAGATCATTAGAACGGTGTCACGTAGTCCAATCTAAGTCAATCTAATGTTCAATTACGGATTAATTGTGGTCCGAAGATCAGAGGTGAAGAGAAGGGCATCCCTATGAAGACGGGTCTAAGTGAATTTTTCTACCTGCACTGCGGTAACCCTTTTGCAGACGCGCAAGCGTTCTGAATGCGATTCAGTGCTGACCAGTTCTCCTCCCCGCTTGTTTCACGGTTTCCATCCTGCAATTCCAAGCAGAAGCACAGACACTTCTTTCTCAGCTCTTCCTGCGAAAATATCTGTCAGTCCACATAATCTGACATGAGAGTCACAAGGACAGGGGATCCAGAGAGCGCTACACCAAGTTGTGGAAAACGAGTTCCTGCATTTCAGCAGGGTACCAGAGAGGCCACAGAACTGGTTCTAACTAGGACTCTTCAGCACAGAGACAAGAACTAGAGCTGCCCTGCAATTCACCAGTACAAACAAATCTGTACTGGCCTGTCAAAACCTCCGGTGAGACAAGGTATTGCAAACAGCCGACGCGCAAACCACACGGGTCAGAGGCGCCTTCAGCAGGGAGATGCATTCGCAGCACTGCGTTCCCGGGAACTGATGCACTTTTCACTATCACTGCAAACATCTTTTTTCCCCTGACAGAAAAGCTGACTAAAAGCAGCTCAGGAAACTCCTACCCGTTCAAAATAAACCTGCATGTCCCAGCCAAAGGAAAACGGGTGTTTATGATGTTGTTCTGCGTGGCTGGTAAGACACCAAATCAGGAGGAAACCGTATGTGATGGCTCTGACGTAGCTGTACGGTGCATGAACAACGGGGCTCTACTCTTGGTAGGGACTGCTGTCACCCTGACTGCTGTCAGGATAGGGGAACTGTAACAACAAACATCTTCCGAAGCAGCCGGGATTCAGCTGTTTTCAGGGTTCGTACATAAAGCTTTGCTTTTCAGAGAAGCTGCCCTCATGAAGTCTGTGATCCTTATGAAGGGAGATTTATGACAGCGGTCAGAAATCATTCAATGGACTTTAAAACCAAAGCCATCAGCTTCCAGTAGACTGAGCTCCTCTTTGTAACAGGATACGCTCAGAGGTGACAGCGTCTGAAGTGAGTGCTGCTGGAAGAGATGACAGCAGGAAAAAAGAGCAGGGCTTACAACATGAAGATGACCCATCATCTTACCATCCTTGCGAGTTGCAAGGGATGCTGGGCTTTTACTCTGAGCCATGCTCAGCAGGTAACCCCCTACCCCACACCTCCTGGCTGCTGCTTCTGCATTTACGTTTATCAGGCACCAGCTGGCACGTGGCAAAGTCCTGCTGCCAGCACCTGCCCAAGCCTGTCCAGCTCACCCGCCCCAAGGCAGCCGAGCTCCACACCCACCTCCCTCCAGCAGAGGAGTAACTACTGACCGCACACAGTGCGAAAGAGAGAGTAACCAGTGGTGTGTTTTACTATAGGTAATTCTTTAAGAATCGGCTGCAGTTGACCCCCCCGTTGTCTACCAGCACATGGTGATCTTACTTTTTCTCCACAGACAGAAGCCTTACCCGCTCCTTTGTTTTAAGCTCCCTATCCCTGATGCTACACAGTACTAGCCATCGACCGACGTCGTCGTTCCCACTCCTTGCTGCCGCGTGCGGAACCGCAGTACTGCTAAAGCCCAGGAAGGCCAACAGTCCGGCACCATCTGCTGCAGGTTCACCTTTGGTGGGAGCCTCCGGGACACGCCAAGTTACAGATTTCTTCTCCCGCTGGCGTGTGAAAACTAAGGAAGACACAAAACTTGTAATCATTCTTCACTTTTCTGTTAACACCAAGGATGGAAATAAATTACTTCAAGAGACCTTTGAACCAAGCCACACTAAGTAATGGGATGAAGTTCATGGCAGAAAACAGCATTGGGAGGAAGTACCAACGGCACAGTGCGAAGCGTGGAACAACTGCCGTGGAAACGGGGACCCCTGAGGCTGCAGAGCTGCTGTACCACACCTTCCTGCAGAGCTGGCTGCCTAAGCTCCAAAATACGGCCTGTGCACGTCACATGGATACTGTCACCCTCTGGAGCTGCACTCCTGCAGCAATCCAACAGACCAGGGCCTAACTCCCCTCTCCGCATGGCAACCACCTCACACATTCCAAGGCACACACTGGAATCCTGCTCGGTGCTCCCAGGCCGGAACTCAAAGCTTTCAGGATGTTCTGTGTACGCAGCAATTAAGCAACCACACAAGCTTTTCTTTTTGTGATTCCAACTACTACAGCCTTAGGAAGCTGGTACGTTTGTTCCCATTTCCCTCCCAGACTGGGTGCAGAGACTCTGCCATCACTGAAACTGCCCTGGTAGGAGGATTTACTGGGCCGCTACTGGCAGGTACTGGTTTGCTCTTCCATGACAGGCGTGTGTGAAGGAATCCTCCGAACCTGCTTGGGCACTTCACCAGCCCGCTCTGTGCGGCATCCTCCCCGTTCCGTGCTGCTCCCAAAGCTCAGCGACCTTCCCTCCGTCAGCTGCAACAGACACAACCCACGAACGGGACAGGCCCAGGGCACTCTCCGTCAGAACCACCCCCTTCCCATCCTGACCGCGAGCCACTGCTGCTTTCTGCCCAAGCTTCTCAGTCAGTCCTTCAGCTACTCTTTTTCAATACATTTTTTGGACATTCCCTCTGCAGATTGCTGGTCAGTCACCAATACAAGCCCTTCCAAAACTGATACGTGTATTTTGCTGTTTCTTTCCTATCTGCCTGGTTTACTGCTTTGGGAAATCAGTCTGACAGAGGTACTGGTAAGTTCCTACTCAGTGCAATTCCTGCCTTTACATCCAGGGCCACAGCTATTACTGCCAGGCACCGGCACTACGGTACTGCGAAGAAACAAAGAGAATCCTCTTCCTGTTTGCATAGGTGGCAACTTGTATGTATCTCTGAAGTGCTGAAATGAAGAATTAACTATCCTCTTCTGAGTAAATCATCACCTTGTATTTGGAGACACTTCCCAACACACTCAAGTGTGAAGGTGTTGGAATTCTGCATAATGAAGTGAAGGAGCCTGGCTAGAGCACAGGCATTGAGGAACACCGTACCTAGAAAGCCCAGAACTTACTGAGATTTTTTAAATCCCGTTGCTCTGCCTTGTTTCACAGGTACTGTAATAAATATAGATATTACACTAAAGAGATTATTTGGGTGTTTTATTCTACTACAGAAACTTCACCCCTGCCAATTTATCTTTGTTACCCACCGGACATGGACAACTTAGTGTTTTACCTCACCCACTGCGGACAGACTCTACTGATGCTGACACACTGCACCTCCCTTGAGCTTACACCACCTTCGCGGTGTAAACCGAACCAGTGGTTTCCGCTTCCTTTCACCACACAGCATAAA